CATTAAAAATGAGTGTCCTTTATAAATAGATTTAAATAACAATATCTGAGGGTCTCATAGTTTCAAAGTTGAAGTGAGGGTAATATTTTGACATGTCTGTGACTTTTCTAAAATGAAAGTTAAACAGCTGTAATTTCTGTGAGGAGCAAGGCATAGGCCATGTGGTTTGTGGCCTCTGTTAATATCTGAAGGAAAGTGAACACCTAGTGATCATTGTTTCTCATTCCATTCATTGAACCTTGATTAAAAACCTTTGATTTAAGCTGGGTATGCTAGTGCACACCTGTAATTCCAGCTGCTCAGGAGGCTGAGGCAGGAGGATAGCAAGTTCTAGGCTAGCCTGGGCATCTTAGGGAGACCCTGTATCAAGCTAAAAAATAAAAATGTAGCTCAGTAGTAGAGTTTCCCCTGCATTCAATCCCCAGTACAACAAACAAACAAATAACCATAGCTTTGATTTAACCTCTCCCAGCCCAGTCTTCTCTGTATCCCTACCTCACAGCCTTATGTGAGGAACATATGATGAGAGATGCAGAAGCATTTTGTGTTAGTGATAAGGACATGACTGTGAGGAATTTAGCTTATGTTTTATTCTTGATTATGAAGACTTAATGTCACCAAGACACCCAAAGTGATGTAAGCAAGCCCTACCTCTGTTAGGATATTCCTTCTAGTTTGTCAATCAGCCTCTGCAGTCTGTCCCTGTTTCCCTCCACAGCTCCCGGAGAAATCCTGCTTCCGGCCATCAATTCCTTCCTGATTCTCCTTCAGCTGAGCTGCCATGCCTGGTGGGTACAAAGGGGAATGTGGGGACGATGTGGACCCAATGCCCTTCCTGGCACCTCCCGACAAGGAGAGGATAGAAGCCATGAACAAGCCATACGACATCAAGAGGTCCTGCTGGGTCAAAGACGAGAAGGAGGGCTTTATTGCTGGGGAGATCCAGTCTGAACAAGGTGACCAAGTCACCGTGAAGACCATCACCAACCAGGTGAGTGGAGAATAATCTCTGGGAAGAAACCGAGTGTTAGGGATGGCAGGGACCCAGGCCTCTGCTGCATACACTTTTACTCAGTAGGCAAAAAAGAGTAGATGTCCCTGAGTCCCCCATCCTGGCTTTGATTCCAGACTCAACTATACTCAAGAAATGTGGCCCTGGGTAAGACACTTTCTGTCACTAAACTTTGGCTCCATCAGACTGGGGATTCCAATGAGATAGGATATAGGAAAGTACTTTGGACACATGATTGTAAGGGACTGTCATGATAGTCATTTATCTTTAAAGTTCCAAGCACCTCATACATGGAATTTATTTTCTAAGAGTAAAAGTGAACATCCCACCAACATACAGTCTGTGTGTTCCATGTCCCATGTTGAAATAAGAAATGTAGGGCAAGGCTCAGACAACCATGGCTCAATAAGCTGTTCAGCAGCATGAGTGACAGGTGGTGAATCCTGAGCCCCTTGCTGCTGCTGCTGCTGCTGCTGCTGTGCTAGACCCAAGCTGGCTCACAAAGGCCCAACAGGAAACAGTCAAGGGCTTCACGGCCAGTTGTGTTAAACCTTTGGTATCTGATATCAACCATGGTGGAAGTATTTTCACCACTGAAATTGGCAAATGCTACAAAATCATGGATTTCTACATATATACCTCCCTCTGTTGGTTTACCAACACACCACTTTCTCTGCTAGTCCATACTATGTCTGATGATGAGGTATGACTTGAGAAAGTAGATAGAAAATTTGGTTTATTAAACCCCTAACTCACTTCCTCCCGCTTGGCATATTCCTAGGAAGAGACTTGACAGTTTTTGAAATCCTTTTGACAACATTTGGATGCA